GACCCTCGTCGCACAGAGGCCAAGAAATTTGGTGGACCTGGTGCCCGTTCTCGCTACCAGAAATCATACCGTTAGGGATTATTACTGCATTGTCTTTTATTTGGCAAAATAAAATACTAATGTAAAATGTAGATTGTTGTCCTTCGTGCAGCGACGGGTCATTAGACAATTGATTAGATAGAAGGGTGTGTTCAATTCATGGTATTTGTATTTCATCAACCAATTCATTGTGTTCAATGTTCGATGTTCTTCCATGGGAAAGCAGTATTTCCAGGGCTCGAAATAACGGCCAGACATATGCAGGACAAGATGTCCTTCCAAATTCCGCTCGTTTTTGGAAGGTCAGGTCAAGTTTTGAAAGGACAAAAACTTTATTATACTATTATTTTCTTTTAATTTATTGTTTTTTTTTTGTTTTTTTTTTTTTTGTTTTTTTGTTTTTTTTCGGAAATATCGGCAAGCATTTTAATGGCTTGTAAAAGATTTGTTTAGCGAATTGAGAATTGATTTGTATAAAAATGTGACAAGTCAATTTGTCGTTTCAAAACCCGATTTGGCCGGTCATATAGCGAATTTGGAAGGACATTGTTCTTTGACCGGCCGTTATTTCGAGCCCTGAATTCTTACAGAAGAAACCCTTGCAATTATTAATAAACGTTTTTGGGCTATTTAACTACAAAACTTTATTAGCAGAAGAGGTTTGTATATAAATGTCTGAAATAAAGTGTATACTAAGTTGCTGAAAAAAAATCCTGCAAACGATTGCTTGCCATATTAAGGATTTTGCTATAATGATTTTCAGTGCCTATACATTTTTTATCACAACTACCTTATTCATAAGTTGACCACTCTTGTAGTCTGAAAAAGGACTATTACAATAGAGCAAACGCCGGAAAACCATGAAATAAATTCAAACTATATACTAACAAATAAAAATAATGTCTCGTGTTCGACTCGTGCGATATCTTTTTTTCTCGTGAAAAATAGATATTAGAGTAACCTGACTTAGAAGTCTTTAAGTTAACTGTTTGTTTTTATTTGGCTATGACTAGTCACAACTCTATCAAAAATGAAAATTTATTTGTGAAATTTGACTGCAAAATCATTCTATAATTTAAGATGGTGCTAATTTCATTGACTATGAATAAAATTGACATCCTCGTACATGGTTCACGAGTGGTTCAAGCAAAAAGGCGGATTTTCAAAGAGCTATACTATAAAAAAATATTCTTATAGAGAGGTTCCTGAAGGGATAAAACGGGGCTGTTGAACCTATTTTTGGCTAGGGCAATGTTCTAAAATGTATTTTCAAATATAAGAATGAGAACTAGGAATGGAACCTGGTCAAAATATTCATCTTCAAATAGAAAATAGGACTCGTACAACCCCTTTCATCCCCCTTCGAGGACCCTCTGATATAAGTGTTGCACTTCACGCCTCATTATTAAAATTCCCATTGCCTCCCGACAAATGTTGTGCCGGTCTTTTGAATATTTAATTAAGCTAGTACTAAAAATTAATCCAATGCAAATTTACCCAATCCGCACACTCGCGAAATCTATTCTATTTTTGCTTGTTTTTGTGTGTGTGTGTGTGTGTTTTGTTGTTGTTGTTGTTGTTGTTGTTGTTGTTGTTGTTGTTGTTGTTGTTGTTGTTGTTGTTGTTGTTGTTGTTGTTGTTGTTGTTGTTGTTGTTGATTGTTTTTGTACACACCCCCAAAGTTCAAACTACATGTAAACTTATCTTAATATATAAAAAAAAACCTGCTTTTCGAAGCCAACCTGAAATGAGGCTCCTCCTGTCAGGTCGGTCTGTCGYTTGACCTGGCTTGGCACAGCCTCTGCCCGTCTTCGGTCTGCCGCTTGACTTCCTGGCACGACACCTCTGCCCACCTTCATCTTTATCTATGGTTTTAATGTTCTAAAATGTTTGATTGACAATTCGTCTTCGATGTTCTATTACACTGTGATGGTTACATCGTCTCCAATTAGAAAGAAGGCCGCCCAGTATTTTGGTTCCTTGTATCTCTCTATTTCTCTCATCTCCTTCATTGCTTGCTGCAGACTTTTACTCGCACTCTCTCCATTCTTGAGATGGGAATAGAATTTCAGCATAAAGAACTTTGTTGCTGTGTCATCAATGGCCCAAAGTGACGCTACAACGGCACGTGCTCCTGCAGCAAGAAAGGCTCGAGCAATTCCAACCACTCCCTCAGACCTGATGTCACCTTTACCGCTGTGGCAACAGCTCAGCACAACCAGTTGAGCACGAATTCCGGTCTCCTGTGCTTCGTTCATGGTCAAGATGTTGCCCTTGTCATCCGCTGGACACGAATTCATCGGAGGATTAGAAGGAGCCAGTAGGATCTGACCTTTTTCCTTGCTGCCGTGTGCAGCAAAATGGATAACTGACACACCTTGCTTTAGTTTCTCCAAAATTACTTCTTTTGTTGCTTGTTTTCCTATCAATGGTTGAACACCGAGAAGGTCACCAATCTCGACAGCTTCTTTCTCTGCACCAGGTAAATCACCCGTAGGGTTACCAATAATCACCGCTCCTGACTTGAATGAATGAAACTTTAATTATTAATATGTTGAGAATTATAATCGATAGAATAGAGTAGACGCACTAAATCCGTGAAACCAATTTTTTTTATACAAAGTAGTGCCGATTAGATATTAGAAAACAAATTAGTTAAGCGCTAATTTTTTTGCGATATTTGTTCCCGGATTTAGGGAGTTCTTTCTGTCTGGAATTAAAACCACAACTATATATCAACACCACATCAGCACCTACAATTCACTACAATTCGAGACTGATCTAACCTGCATCTATCAAGTCGGGTGTCTCCCGGGGGGGTTAATATACCTCAAAGAATATGGACGCTTCATATTTTTCGTTTTCGTTGACTTCAACGTATCTTTAGCCTAAATGCACTTAGACTTTTTAGCACGAAACAAGTTTCGTTTAGAGTGGTTTTCATAAACCCGTGAAACAAAGTGTAATATAATTAGAGTGTAATAGATCGTAATAGTCGCGTAGAGACAAATAAAAAACAAAAGAGCCAAAGTGCAATAGCGATAATTACGCTAAAACGTGTTTCACGGGTTATTGAAAACCACTATTCACACTAAACTTTTTCAATCGCTAAGAAGAGTTTAACAAAGTCTTGTATGTCCTCGGTAAGAACAATTACTGCAAAAATAATGGACGAATACGTTGTTTGTACTTACCAAGCCATGCTGGTCACGTGAGGATTCTTGCAGAATTTTCAATGTCGTCAGTGAGGGTGCCAAGCGAATGCATTTAGTTTCCGACAAATACTTGCCGGTCTTTGGATCTTGAAGAGCAGCAAATGGCACCATGAACAGAGGACCATCAGGGATGATGATCACCTCGTCGTGGGTCAGATGGTCCAGTACTGGGGAAACCAGTCTATGGAAGAGGACATCGAGATAATTGACAACATCGTCGTCTTCTTCTTCGAATGTGTTTCTGTCAAGCTGTCGAAAACATTTGAGAGCAGTTTCACTGATTTTTAAAGAGTTTGTAGAGGTTACAGACTCCAGGTCTTCATGGTCTAGTAAGTTCATCGATCTGTCTTCGCATTCCTTTCCTTTTCCTTCTCTAACATTCAGCTGCTGGAAACAGTTGTCAACGAGATATTGAAAATATCCCGTCTTGTTTTTTTTTCTCTCAACTTCAGATAGGCTCAACACAATTCTTGCCAAAGCTTCGAAGCTGTCTATTTCATCGTAAAAGAAGGTAGATGGGTTTCGGGATGATATGACCCAGCTATGATAAGTTACCTTGCCCAAATGAAGATTGTAAAAAAGAATGGAGACTTCTCGATGAGAGGAAATTGTTTTGACATCTGCAAGTTCCAGCTCCTTCGATTCTGTTTTCACAGTTGTGTTGTATCTAAGGAGCAAGAGATCTCTCAAAGCACGTGCTCGCCCATGTTCACACACTAAGAGAGCTTCTTCGCTTTGTCCTGTTTTGACATAGACTTGACTGAGGAGCTTGTAGGTTTTGATGAATGTATCGACAATTGAGACCTTGAATTGGTCCTTGTCTTTTAAATCATCAAATAAGCTCTCGTAGCATTGTATGCTCTTCTCTAGATGTTCTTTTGATTTGCTGAGGTCTTTAATGCTCGATTCTTCCTCATATGCAAGACCTGAAATAGAAAGACGATTACTTAGAATTAGACTTACTACCCTTAACATTAGATTTTAATCAGAAGTTGCTTTGATACTAATAATAATTCAAACGCGTCTTTGAACAACAACTAGGCGCTCTTGGAGCGTGAAGTCGGTCTATCTATTTTTGAAATTGAGAAAGACAGGATATTACATGGGTGTGCGTATAGGAGAACGAGCGAAAGGTTTTAAACACGAGATTATGATTACTTCTTGAAATTAATGATTGCTACACTTATGAACTACTTTCAGAATTGATATGTTGGAGGATACCGTTCAAAAATTTCCTTTAAATCAAGGGATGTGCATATTTCTGAATTGTGCTTACATCATAACATCACCCATTCTTAATTAATGCATGGCAGTGAGATTTGGGAAGCTGTTTGACATAATATTAAAAAAGAGCTAGCCCGACTTCATGCTCTAAGAGCGTCTAGTTCTAATTACCGTTACAAGACTGCCTAACGCTAGAAAGGTCATTGATTCAGTTTCGTAAGCATACTGCTCGAGGCTCCATGCGATCCGCACATGCGCGTGCTTCTAATGCCTAGACTGATACATTCCAATGAGATCACAGATACCACATTTATAAACCAATTAGTGTTTTCCGGTGGCCCAAACGCGACACAATACACAGATAGATAGGTAGATTGATTGATTGGCAAAGAGCTAAAACTCTAGCCTTCGGCTAGCCCGACTAATCATCTGTCATATGAAACTTATTGCCATACATCGGGTGACATTTGCTTGGATTATTGTCCAGGCTCACTCATGCATCCATGCATGCAAAAATACCCAGAAAGGTCACATATAGATTTTATTTCTTAAATCCGGTGCTAGGTTTTTAGGATTGTTTTTAATGTCGCCGCATTTCTTCAAAAAGCCTTGAAATCTGGCCATTTTTCGTCAAATTTGGCACTTCATACGGA